GGTAATGTACTCCCTTCTCTTTACACCTCTTGACCTTTGACCCGCCAGCTTCGACATCCCAACTCGTTTTCGATTACCCCCGCACGTCCCGAATATCGTGACCGTGACGTCCAGCGGTTAAGATTTGTGCCCAACTGCTGACGGACGCACGCCACGAACGCACGCACGGCGTCATGCGATTTCTACAAGCTGCATCTGACTATGTCAGATTAGCATAAAAAATGCATTCAAATTCAGTCCACAAACCTTCAGAAAGCATCTCGGAGCATTCGTGAGATCAACAATTTTCCCGCGCAACCACTATCAACATCATGCTTTTAAGGCTAGTTGAAACCAGAATGGCTAGTACAAAACATTACCTTACTAGACCTTCGGCCAACTTGCATATAACCGTAATTGTAAATTAAGTAACCATTGTAATACTAACTGAAGATAGAATAAGGACCAGTGAACAAAAGAAGCTCATGTTTGTATACATTTGTTTTTTATTCACATCGAACTCGACGACAAAAATGTAGTGCAATCAGTCCCAAATCGGTGTCTTACTCTTTGTCATTATAGCTCCTGATAGACATTTACAACACCAGCTATTCTACTTCCCAATATGTATATATATATATCCGCATGTCTATGTCTACGTTTCAAGGATATACATACGCCAGAGCGTTTTTTATTATGTTGCCGCACTGGGCAGCGCTATATATATGTCTATATATATATCGACACACTACACTGATATAAGGCTCTATATATCTATATGTATATACAGTCCGCAGTTGAATGTGTCTAGTGCGCTATGCCTATATACACTTTCATTGCTAAGTAGCCTAGCTCACGGCCGCCAGTCGCCGGCGCTTGTTTCGGTATATATATGTGTATATATATATAGATATTAGGGCTGTAACGATCCACTGAAATCGAATCGGATGAGATTCTCTTCCCTCGATCCGATCCTCGATATTTTCCCTGTATTTTCGATTCTACTTTGATACCACCCTTTTTTCCTTCAATAGATGGCGGCACTACGCTATATGCTTGGAGTGTTACCGAGCATATAAAATCACTGGTGACCGTGAGTAATGGCGATTTATAATGCTCTGGTGTTACTCACCAATGTTACTCAGCGACTGTGCAGGTGTATATCTAATATATATTTTGAGCTTCGTATGTATGTATGTATTAGGACTGTCATCGATGCCCACCAATCGATACAATCGCGATGGATTTGCGTCCGATATCGATACGAAATAAATCGAAAAATAGCATCCGATTTAAAAAAAAAAAAATTTTTTTTTTTTTTAAATGTAGCGAAGCATCGGTACCATTTTTGACTGAGCGCCGCCATTATCGGAAGTAGTGCAGGGCGCATGCATACAACGAGACAATCAATAACTGTGGTGTTCTATTGTCTCTGGTGCGTATCCTGTCTCACTGAATCTCTATAATAAAATCTGTCTACCGAAAAGCATGTCTGCTGCTTCGCCATCGCCGCGACGCCAAGGTCAATCTGGTTGAATTCAGAGTAAATATACTTCGCGCCTTGTTGTATTTAAGCACAGCGATGTATAAAATGCTTAGTTATCCATAAGTAGAACGCAAATCAATGAGTTACTGTACTTTCACGAGGCTCATGTTTTATTACATAATTATAAATCGATCGGATCGAATCGGATTCGAAATATCGGAAAAAAATATCAATATCGAATCGAAATAATTTGATACCAATGACAGCCCTAGTATGTATTATGTATGTATCTTCCCTATAGGCGGCCACAACCGCCAAGCGATCTGATGCAATTTTCACAGCAGCGGTTCTCCCTACGTTGCGCAAACGGGGCGCGTGCGCCCGTTTGGGAACTCCCCCTGTTTGATCGTTGAGCCCCGTTTGGAAACTCCCCCCTGTTTTGAATCGTTGGCGCCCCGTTTTGAAATACCCCGCCCCATTTAAAATTCCACCACAATAAAAGTTTGCCACGCGCGGAATCGATCGTCAACAATTGCCGTTCGACCAGGACAATCCGACGCGTGTATTTTTACCGGTACCAACGCATGCACTGAGACAGTACACAAGTTAACCTGACAATGCACAGTTAACCTGTCACTAACTGTTACAGCCGACTCGGCTATCTTATATATACAAGACCCCAAATACCGTCTATGGTGTGGTGGCGATTTTTATGCATTAATTAGTCGTACGTAAAAATACACGCCCCCCGGACCCCCTAAGTTTCCCCCCTCCCCCCTCCCCCTACCCCTCCCCTCCCCTGGTTGAATTTCATCCTGGGGAGAACCCTGCACAGGGCTATCTCTTATACCCGGGGAGTGTTCCTAGATGAAAAAAAACCTGTCAAACCCGTCAAACTCACCGAAAAAACCGTGAAAAACCCGTCAATTCTTGAACCTTCACACAATGTCAGCCTCACTGTACAGCTGCTGCACACCACAGAAAAATCGATGACTATTTCATCAGCTTGCGTATTGTGAAACCGAACCAATACTAAAAGCTTGAAAAGTTGAACGCTTCAAGTGCCCTGTGGTTACGACTGCATTGTTTGTCAAGAGCTTTCCAAATGAAAACTGCAAACCCATTCGTACATGCTGTTATAATAACTTTTTCTCATTTACACCAATATACCTATTAGTTGCCAGGGGTTCTAAGTTGGGTTGTGCTGTCATATAAATGTCATACATAACAGTTTTTCCGCCATGCCTTATTATCTTATTAGATGACTGTTCTTAAATTTGATATTGTGTGCAATGTTATTGTCGATTTTTACCCAATGTTCCTATTGTGTCCCTTATAGTAGTATGAATTACGTAGCGCAATTTTCACCGACGCAGGCGGGTACCCGCAGCAGTAACTATATATACTTCCTAGACTCTCTAGTCTATTCACCATTTAGTATCATTGGCAATTTCTAATAATTTATATTGCAAAATAATAAAAATATAAAAAATAAGATAACATTTCAATATTTTGGGAATCGAATCGAAGGAATCGAATCGAGAGGCTAATATTGAGCACCGGACTCGAATCGAGAGGCTTGTGTATCGTTACAGGCCCTAATAATATATATATATATATATATATCAGGAGTAGATAATAGGAGGAGTGTGACCATCAATAACAAGGGAATTCGTCATTTACTAGCCTTATATATACCTACGATTTACTACGCGTAACTCATCCAACTTGAGCTCAAATCGACACAGTACATTCCCAATCATCGTGGCGAATCGTTTCCTCGTAGACACCCGCAATCCGCAGATCAGCCTAAACACGTACGACACGATTCTCATTCTCTGGGCCATCAATCCAGCCCATTGCGCGCCTATAATTCAGACAAAAGGCAGCAAACCTTTCCGCGCAGTCGCTGTGTTTGCTCTCTCGGATAGCTGAATGTGGCGTTGTGGCTCCGGGAGATGGAGATCGACGATAACTACTATAACAACTATAGCTACTATAACAACTATAACTACTATAACAACTATCAAGAGTAGATAATAACACATTTATTATCTACTTTTGCAACTATATATAACGTTGTTATATATAGTCAATAGATGCGTGTGTGCTGTAGCTGCAGGTGCGGACTTGTTCTTGCTGCCAGTGGGTCAAATAGAAATTCTTGCCGAGGTGGCCCTTCAATTGCCAGTAGCAGCAGCGCCTCCAAAGCTGACTCACTCAGCCTGTTCCTCATGTAACCATTCCCATTAAAAAAAAAAATTTTGTTTTTTAATCGGGCGGAAATAATTTAAACGTGGCGCAACGATTTAAACAATAAATTTTATTGCACAAATATCTCACAGATACTTTGCCAGTATGTCGCGAGATGGCGTTGTGTACGATTCAGTGTTTACTTCCGTTCCGAGTTCAATGATCAATCTTGAAAACATGCATCCTGATCAAATTTTTCGAATTTTTAATACTGTTATAGACTTTATTTCGTCGAATTACACGTTCGACACTCGTGGCATCTACCGCTCTACCGATTTAGCTGGTGCTAAAATTTGGCTCGGGCCTGGTCAGACGTTTTCGATGGGACCAAATTGGCTCGTGCTAACTTGGCACGGCCTCGAAAAACCGTCCGTGTAAACGACCGGCTCGAGCCAAATTTGGCACGGGCCTAATTAGGCTCGGGCTAAAAACGCCCGTGTGAATGTGCCTATAGTGTAGGAAGCGTAGTGGCGCCATCTATCAGCGGAAAAAATCGTCTTATATTGCTGGACATCATCTCTATCCTTGAGCCGAACCCTCTATATACAATATTAAGTGCTTACCATACAAAGAGAACACTATGGCTCAGAGGAGCTTAGATCAAGGATCATCATCAAGGTCCAAGTGCTATTTGCAAAGTTGTGTACTAAATAGCTTGCAATTCAGCATCATTACTGACATTATTGCAGGTGTGTGTGTACGTGTGTGCATTCCTGTGTGTGCATGTGCACGTGTGCTTGTGTGCAAGTGTGCCCACAGGCGTGCGTGCGTGCGTGAATTTGCTACGAGTAGATTTGGTATCATCAGATCATTTCACGAGTTTCCAAGAAATGACAATCTACTAGTACTAGTCTATGTACAGACTACAGTCACAGTACAGCAAGTTTTCATGAAGTTGGCACAACTGAAGTCCATCTTAGAATAATATGATATAAATAATAGACGTGTTCGTAAACGTGAGACATCTAAAACTTAAAAATAAAAGTAAAAGAAACTTTAATGTGAAGCCGAAGGAAAACACAAATGAGTAGAAACTGTAGTACTACTACTAGTAATACTAATAGTACTAGTAAACTAGTAATAATACTACTAGTAGTAGTACTACTACTACTAGTACTAGTAGTAGTACTACTACTACTACTAGTACTAGTAGTAGTAGTAGTAGTAGTAGTAGTAATAGGCCTACAGTAGGCCTATGCTGCATGCATTATCAAAATCATTGCCTAAAGTTAAACCGCGTAAACAATACTTGGATAATTGACTATTACTATTAGTATTATACCCTTTTCAGCTGCGTAATCTGTTGCCGGCATCGTAGCATAGGCTTCCACAATTAATGCTTTGGTTTAACTGAATTAGAACCTAACAAGTTTACAAATTGAAAACTACACACACCAAAAAAACAAAAACAATTTCAATAAGTACGACTACGGCCGTACGCAACGCGGGAAAAATCTCGCGAGAACAAGCGACAATGTAAGACTTAGACGATAGACAACTAGTGTGTTATTTATGCTAACTATAAACTCCGGAGACGTGCGGGCCCATCTATAAAAACTCTCGCGAGATAAACTTGTGTCAAAGCAAACTGCATGCAGCGCCCCCTTCGTACACAGTGAATCGAGCCAGAGCCAGAGCGCCATCTGTCGTGGAGTTTGCATCAAACTCAGCGTTTGAGAAACGTGGGGGCAGTCTATGCGGCAATATTCCAAGATGTCAGCCTTCGCGGTATACAGTTATTGTGACGATGATTATATAAAGCTTGTACCTTCGTGGAGTCAGCCAAGGGTTTTAAGCAAGGTATATCGAAAATACGCATTTTAATATTCATGATATTAAGGCTGCATCAAGATACATCCCAACTCGTTTTCGGATTACCCCCCCACGTCCCGAATATCGTGACCGTACGTCAAGCGGTTAAGATTTGTGCCCAACTGCTGACGGACGCACGCACGCACGCACGCACGCTCATGCGATTCTACAAGCTGCATCTGACTATGTCAGATTAGCTAAAAAATGCATTCAAATTCAGTCCACAATACCTTCAGAAAGCATCTCGGAGCATTCGTGAGATCAACAATTTTCCCGCGCAACCACTATCGACATCATGCTTTTAAGGGCTAGTTGAAAACCAGAATGGCTAGTACAAACATTACCTTACTAGACCTTCGGGCCAACTTGCATATTAACCGTAATTGTAAATTAAGTAACCATTGTAATACTACTGGAAGATATAATAAGGACCAGTGAACAAAAGAAGCTCATGTTTGTATACATTTGTATTTTTATTCACATCGAACTCGTACGACAAAAATGTAGTGAAATCAGTCCCAAATCGGTGTCTTACTCCTTTGTCATTATTAGCTCCTGATAGACATTTACAACACCAGCCTATCTACTTCCCAATATGTATATATATATCCGCATGTCTATGTCTACGTTTCAAGGATATACATACGCCAGAGCGTTTTATTATGTTGCCGCACTGCCAGCGCTATATATATGTCTATATATATATCGACACACTACACTGATATAAGGCTCTATATATCTATATGTATATACATCCGCAGTTGAATGTGTCTAGTCGCTATGCCTATATACACTTCATTGCTAAAGTACCTAGTCACGGCCGCCAGTCGCGCGCTTGTTTCGGTATATATATGTGTATATATATATAGATATTAGGGCTGTAACGATCCACTGAAATCGAATCGGATTGAGATTCTCTTCCCTCGATCCGATCCTCGATATTTTCCCCTGTATTTTCGATTCTACTTTGATACCACTTTTTTCCTTCAATAGATGGCGGCACTACGCTATATGCTGTGGAGTGTTACCAGAGCATATAAATCACTGGTGACCGTGAGTAATGGCGATTTATATGCTCTGGTGTTACTCACCAATGTTACTCAGCGACTGTGCAGTGTATATCTAATATATATTTGAGTTCGTATGTATGTATGTATCTTCCCTATAGGCGGCCAAACCGCCCAAGCGATCTGGATGCAATTTTCACAGCAGGGTTCTCCCTACGTTGCGCAAACGGGGCCCGCGCTGCGCCCCGTTTGGGAAAACTCCCCCCTGTTGGAGATCGTTAGCCCCGTTGGAAAACTCCCCCCTGTTTGAATCCGTTGCGCCCCCGTTAAATTTAACCGTCCGCGCCCATGTTAGAAATCCACCAAATAAAACGTTTGCCCAGGCGCCGGCGAACTCGATCGTCAAGGAATTGCCGTTCGGACGCAGGCATCCGACGCGTGTGATTTTAACCGTCTACCACCCGCATGTCACTGAGACAGTACACAAAGTTAACCTGACAATGCACAGTTAAACCTGCACTTAACTGTACACCGACTCGCGGCTATCTTCATATATACAAGAAACCACCAATACCGCTATGGTGTGGTGCGATTTTACGCATTAATTAGTCGTACGGTAAAAAATACACGGCCCATAACGACCCTAGTCTTCCCCTCCCCTCCCCGCTACCCCTCTCCTCCCCCTGTTTGAATTTAATCCTGGGGAGAACCCTGCACAGGGCTATCTCTTATTACCGGGAGCTGTTCCTAAATGATGAAATTTAAAAAACCTTGTCAAAACGTCAAACTCACCGAAAAATCTTGAGAAGAACCGGTCAATTCCTGAAGACTTCACACAATGTCATCACTCACATGTACAGTGCTGCCACAACACTAGAAAAATCCATGCACTATTTCATCAAGCTGCGCTTGGTATGTGAAACGAAACCAATACTAAAACAGAGCAGCACCAGGACCAGGTTCAGAGGTTACGACTCATTGTTTATCAAGAGGCTTTCAAATGAGACAGTCCAACCCATTCTACTGCTGTTCACGGTGCCAGACGCTACATTGCCGTACGTGAGCAGCTCAACAGTTCGAGACGCCAGCGAATCTTTACTTGATTTCCACCAGAGAATAACACAAAAAAAACATTGTTTATTCAAGAGCTTTTTCAAATGAAAACTGCCAACCCATTCGTACATCGCTGCTTTATCAATAACTTTTTCTCATTTAACACCATATGTACTAGTTGATGTTCAGGGCGTTCTAAGTTGGTTGTGGCTGTCATATTAAATGGGTGCATACATAACAGTTTCTTCCCCATGCTGTATTATCTTATGAATATCTAAATATTGACATATGTGTGCAATGTTATTGTCGAATTTTACCTCAAGTTTCCTACTGTGGTCCCATTATTAGTAGTATGAGATAGTATGCACAAATTTTACGCAGCGCAGAGCGGGTACCGCACGCTAAGTTAGACTCATATATACTGGAGTTAGACTCTGCTCGGTAGGTCTATTGCACCATTTAGGTAATTCATTTTGGCCGATTCTAATATATTATGGATATTGCAAATAGATAAAAATATAAAAGAATAAGATAACATTATGCAATATTTTGGGAAGTCGAATCGAAGCGAATCGAATCGAAGGGCTAATATTGAGCACCGGATCGAATCGAAGAGCTGTGCTATCGTCTACAGCCTATATATATATATATATGATAGTAGTATATCATATATATATCAGGGTACGTATTAATAGGAGGAGTGTGACATCAATAAACAAGGGAACATTCGTTCATATACTTAGCCTTATAATACCTACGATTACTACGCGTAACTCATTCCAACTCAGCTCCAATGCGACACAGACATTCGCCAATCGATCGTGCGAAATCGTTTCCTCGTAGACAGGCCGCAATCCGGAGATACAGCCTAAGAAACGTACACACGATTCTGCCATTCTCTGGCCATCCAATCACAGCCATTGCGCGCCTATAATTCAGACCAAAAAGGCCAGAACACTGTCGCGCAGTCGCTGTGTTTTGCTCTCTCGCGATAGCAGTAATATGTGCGTTTGGGCTCGCGGGGAGATTGCGAGATCGACGCAACACTCGACGGAGCAATCATGGCGGGTTTGGCGTGTGCGTGAAGCGCATGCCAGCTATGTACAAAGGTGGCCTGTTAGCTG